GTGGATTTTAATGGTCACTCACAATTTGAAATACACAGAAGCAAGCCTGGCTGGCCTTGACGGGGACAATCAGGGCTCACAGTTCTGCCGTGGTGGCTTCTTTCTTCCAGGTGAGGGCAGCAAAAGCAATTTTGTTTTCTTCCAATGTCAAGAGCACTGCCAAATAAATTCAGTGTATTCTACACCAAGGTGCACTAACTTGACTCCAGAGACACACAACAGACAGGTAGGTACAAACAGGAAGTGTGTCAGGATGCTCCAGAAGTGTCAACACCCAATAATAAGGCAACGTGTGTTCACATCTACGTGATACACAGATAAGGGCTTAACATGCTTTAAGAGATTCATTAGCACTAGGATGACAGGACGTGTCACTTTGACATAGTTCCATTTCCTCAATGAAAATGACAGAAACCGTTTATATTTACCCCCGAGCGCTGATGCAGGTAATGGGACAAATATGTGTCACATGCAAACCACCGAACAACAGTGCTCATCAGTGCTACCGGGAGGGAGCTGAGCCACCACTCTCAGCTGTTCCCATCAGGGCTACAATGTGGGACAGAACCTCAAGTTCCTGAAAAAGCCAGACTTACTAGACTGGTTGGGACTGGAGGACTCACCCCAAGACCACTGTCTTGGGATATTCTTTTGCCTTGAACCAAAACCAGCCTGCAGTCATCTTTGAGCTAAGTAACAGACTGGCTAACAAAATCAAGAGCATCACCCAGGAGTACTGTGCTCGTTTCAAAAATCATCCACATGAGACCACATGGTCAACAATGACCCTGAAACAGAGATGAGACTGTAGGGGGAAAGGAATTAGATGAACAAAACAGGAACAACCAGAAAAGAAATGGTGAGCCTGCCCATGCATTGTGAAGAGTGTAACCAGTGCCGATGAACACGCGGTGTAAATTGTTGAATAGGAACCAACACTGCTGTGAAAAACCTTCACCCCAAACACATTTTTTTAAAAAAGCAATGGATTCCCTATGCTCATTGTTCCTGAGCTGTAACTCAAACTCCATCCCATGCGCAGCATCCCTGTGGCCCGTTACAACCATAGGAACTGAGGAGGGGAATCTGACGTGAATATGTTGACATACATACATGCTGCTTGCGGTACACCATGAGTAATCACGTCCTTTGTCTCTAACCCAAGAACTTTATATCTCCTGCCAACATCCACAACATAGTAACAGACTACCATATATACTCGAGTATGAGCCGGCCCGAATATCAGCCGAGGCACCTAATTTTACCACAAAAAATGGCATTAAAAAGATGCTGGAACATAAGCAGGAGAGCATGTCTTGGAATGTCCCCAGCAATCCTTCTATAAGAAACTGCTAGATATTCAAGCTACATACTGAAGAGGACATGGAACGAAAGATATCATTGCTAGTAATGGATGAGATAGATCTTGGCTGAAAGCAGAGAACACCAGAAAGATGTTTACTTGTATTTTACTGACTATGAAAAATCATTTGACTATGTGTATCATAACAAATTATAGATAACATTGCAAATAAAAGGACTTTCAGGGGGAAAATGTGCTGGAAAACTCAGCTTATACACAGGCATATACAGTAATTCATTAGTATTTAGAGAGAATAGAACAAACCTGATATACATCAAAGGGCTACCACTCAGTTCAAGGGAATGAGAGTCTTGGCATATCAAATTATGGGAAAAGGCATGAGTACTCATTCCCAAATCCCTCCCTGAGAGCCCACCTTGGGCTGGCTGAGTCCCCTGACACTACTCTTTAAGGAAGTCTACTCTAACAATAACTCTGTAGAGCAGCTCACTGCTCGTTCAGGGAATCTGGCTTCCAGCCACCACTCCCTTCTCTACTCCCGTCAGCCCCGGGGACTATAAAAGCACGGTTGCTCTGCTACTAGTACTGGGCTAGTCCACAATGCCCTTTTAGTTCCACTGGACCCCATCCACACCTTGGCGATGAGTCCCTTTGTAAATAAACCCTTCCAGAATGACCCTAAATTGAAGGTTGCCTTCAGCTTCCTGCTAGCAGCATGCTGACTTGCATGAGCAGCTACATCAGGGTCCAGCAAGCTGGTGCCCTGGCACTCATTGTCAGCCACTTACATCCCAAGTGAGAGCTCCAAGAAGGATGCCCTGGGAAAGAAAGAACCTGCCTTGACCGAGAGAGCAGATTGCCATGGTTCCCAGCCTTCCTAATGCTGCCACAACCCTTTCATACAGTTCCTCATGTTGTGGTGAACCCCCCCACCCACCCACCACCACAAAATTATTTTCATTGCTACTTCATCACTATCATTTTGCTACTGTTATGAATTGGGCGACCCCTGAGAGAGTGGTCGTGACCCACAGGTTGAGAACTGCTGGACTAGAGCAGCAAGGAGCTCCTGCCACCATTCCTTCTTTTGTGTGTGTGAACCAAACCATGCCACAGCGACGGAGCCGACGTCAACTCGTCCTGACCCTCTGGGGCAGAGCAGAACTGCGCCAGGGGATTTCTGGGGCTGTCACGCTCTACAACACAGCAAGCCTCGCTGTTGCCCCGCAAGCCTACGTTTGCACCACTGTCCTGGTAGTTAATGGCAGAATGCACACACAGCCTACTACGCCACCAGGGCTCTTTGGACATTAGGCTCCAATAAGTAGGTGGGAAATAAGGAAGATCATGTCACCAAAAAAAGTGCAATGACATAGCAAGTACCCAAAATAAATGCTACTCACAAGATACACAGCAATCTCCAATAGCAATGGAATGCAAGCTATACAAGTAATGTAAAATCCTCCAGGAGTCAGATTAAAAAAGGAAAAGAGACACATGTAAGACTAATTTTTGTCTATTAAAAAGATTTTTTAAAGAGTCCAATCAGTTCCTGGCAGCCCTGTAAGACACAGCAGAAGAGAGGCTCGGAGTTCCCGACATGGCATATGTTTACGGGATCAGAGAGCCTCCTCTTCTCCCATTTCACAACATTTTTTACTTCAATCAACCAAAAAACTATTAACATTTCAGCATGCAATTAATAGAAAAATTCAAATATCTTCCACTGATAGTACTTAACATTCTAAACCCTGTGTACACTTTTAGCACTTAGAACACATCTCAATCCGGATGCTGACGTTAATCAGGAACTCCTGATGTGTATTTAGACTTAATAAAGTGTACAATTAAAACGGAGTGGCACAACTACTAGCCAACTGTTGGCAGTTCAAATCCACCCAGAGGTGTCGATGAACATAGGCCTGGTGGTGATGTTTCCAAAAGGACACCGCCTTGAAACCCCTGTGGGTCAGTCCTGCCCCTGCCCACGAGGGGTCACTGTGACTCATCTTGACTGACACCAACACAGGGGTGAGAGTAGCTTGACTTAAAAGTTTTCTAGTAACTGAAGTATAAGTTTTGAAATTTCAATTAATTAAAGTTAAATAACCTTTAAAATACAGATCCTCTGCTACACTAGCTGTATTTCAAGTCATGGAGAAGCCCCGGTGGCACAGAGGATAAGCATTTGATTGGCAGTTCATACCCACAAGCCACTCCTTGGCAGCCTTGGAAACCCTCGGGGGGCCATTCTACTCTATCCTACAGGGATGTTATGAGTCAGGAGCCACCCCAAGACAACACACTCGGTATTAAAGCTCATGTGGCGCAGGTCGAGCTAATATGAGGCTACATAGGAGTGGTCTCCAGTAGAATTCGGGAGGCCTCAGGGAACTGGCTTTCCCTGCCTTTGAGCTCACTCAGGACCATCCAGAGCTGTTGCCCCAAGTAGGCAATACCACCCGCAGGGGGTGATGAAAAGACCTAGAGGGGGTCTGCAAAAGTGCATACCAACATTTTACCCTGGATTCCAGAAAGGATGCATCCTGGATTATGGGTTTTATATAGTACAATAGTTTTTCACTGCCAGGGGAGCACTGGGTAATTTTTTTTCCAGAAAAGGGGGCAGTAGGCCAAACAAATTTGAGAACTTTTGATCTAGAACATCACCATCTATTCCCTTGAATGCTCTACGCTCATTTTCTCAGCATCTTTGCCTATGGCCTTGGCTGACTTTCTGGACTTCACCCTTTGACAAGCTGAACCGGAGCATGCACTCCTATGCAGCCATTTCTGGCCCGCTTGAACTGTGGCAGCCGCGAGTCCCACTATTCCCCAGCTGAATGCCCAATCCAGGCTTTTTCATCTGCATTCTCTAGGTGGAAAGCATCAAAACGCACTTCTCCTAAATGGGCTTGCTGAAGTTATGCACTTAATGAAGTCAACACAAATCGCTGTCTGCAATTCCCCTTGGCCATACCCCATCAAGCAATGGCAGGCCCCTTTCCTTACTACGTATCTATCCAACTTGGGATAGTCCCTTCTTAGGGGCTTTGCATACTTACTTCAGAGCTCAGCAAGTGGAAAACTAATAAGGATATAAACATCTAAAATAATTTTTAAACAATTAGCATCTCTAAGTATACACCTGAAAAACACGAATTTGTGAACACTTAAAAAAATAACGACCAGAGAGTACTAAGTAACTGTTGTTAAGTGCCACTGTGTCAGCTCCAACTCCCCCGCCCCCGTGTGCAACAGAGCGAGCCCCGCCCAGCCCTCACAGTGGCTCCTCGGGGCAAGCCTGTCCCGGCACAGCCTGTGCCAATCCAGCTTGCTGAAGGGCTTCCGCTTTCCACCTCCTAGACTCCCGAAATTAAGAGCTTACCTAAATCAAGAGTTTCCCTCCTAAATTTCATTCCGCGTGTGAATCTCTCTCCTCCCAAACCCAGCCATGGCTTAGTTTCCTTCCTATTTTCTGCAGAGAGTGACAACTATTAATAAAGAACGCTCCGTGGTGAGAAGTTCACTGGAAAACAGAAGCCCACGGCACTCATACACTAAAAAGCCAGGCATTGCTACACCAAAAGGCAAACGCCTAATCCTGATAACTCAACCACCCCCCTGAGATTACATTACAGACCGTATTTCAATGAATAAGGGGAAAAATGCTTACAAATATCTTTCCACACAGCAGACACAACTGTGTGTTTTTCGGGTCCTTTCTTTTTAGATCCATATCTTTGGCCCTCTGTAGTTCTGGGATTGAATTTGCATCTATTTTTTAAACGTGCTGTTTCTGAACCTATTTAAAATTAATACGAAAATCATTAGCATTAAAAGGCCATCTTAATTGAGAAAAGGAAATCAACAAAGAAACATTAAAAAAATAAAACCTGAATCTTCATTTCTTAAAATATCCCGCAGCAAAGATGCACAACCATCCAGCCCCTGCACGGTTTCCACCTGTAATGAGAAAATCATGTGGAATATAGACAACTCTAGTGTCGGAAAAACACACACAGCAAACAACTGACACAGCTTTCAAGCGTCCTTCCTCAGAAGCGATGGTTGTTAGAAAACTCGGTTTAGAGCAACAAGCCCTCATAGTCCCTGGGTCACAGTGATCAAGTTGGCCCTGAGGAACGGCAGCCCCACACACAATGGGCTCGGGCAACTGTTTACCCACAGGGTTTTCGGAACTAGGCTGCTCGGCCATTCTTGCTGGTCTGCTTTGGTTGGGAACTGTCGTAGCTACATAATTTCATGTCAACTTGAAGATATATATATATGGGTTGGTGGTATTCAACCTGTCAGCCAGGTCACAGCCCGATGGTGACTCCTTGTGGCGGTGGCCTTCTCCTAAGGAGGGCCCTGGGGACCTCCCCACCTCTCTCTGCCTTCAACTTCCTGCTGGCTGACCCTGATTGCTGCCGGAGTCCTGTGATGCGTCCACCCCCACTGGAGCCGCACCACTCTGCACCCATCAACCTGCAGTCTTCCTGCATTCTGCACCATTGCATATGGCTTTGAAGAGGGACTTATGGACTAGTATTGGACTTATGGACTGGAGTTGGACTGGGTGGGGATTTTTCTTGATATATAATTACTTCTTGATATAAAGTTCTTTCTTACACATAGATGAGTGCCACTGGATTTGTTTCTCTAGTCAACCCACCTAACACAGGAAGCTTTGTTCAAACTTGCTTAGCAACAGAGCCACCCTCCGCCCACCACTGACAGACAAGCAGCAGCCGTGTTCCAGACGCACTGGCCGGGAACCAAACCTGGGTCTTCCATATGGAATTCACAAACTCAACCGCTACCACTACTCTGCCTTAAGCCTGTGAATACTTGACTTTTCCATTTTATTCCCACTTCACAGCTTTCACTTGGATATCTTAGAACAATGGGCATCTTACCTATTAAGTTTTAAATCTTACCTGACTCTCTGAATCCGAAAGAACAGGATTACCAGAATCTGCGTTAAAACGTGACACTTTTCTTAATTGGGACCTAAAAGGAAAGTTGGTTAATATTCTTACAAACATCTAAAATTTATTTTGTTCCAAGAATAAATTTATATAAAGATTGTGGAGACTGTTATACCCTAAAATGCCTAATCTGGGTAGATGTGACAGGCTCCCTCCAAAGCTGGAAAGGTAGCAGTCCATGTTCCTTTCTGGCAAATTGCAGTCCAGCCCAAAGACTCAAAAGGTCTCCAGCTGTTTGTTAAGTTGCCAACATTATTTGAGCACTCACCCTTTCTTTCCACTTAGTTTAGCAGGTCCAGGGGGTCTTCCTGAAGATAACACCTGTGACAGGATATATTATACTACAGTAAATATACAGATGTTTTCATTTGCAACAAACTGTCTTGGCAAAATGCTACTCTTAGCTTCCATACGTGATGCAGGTGAGCTGGTGCTAACCCACAGTAACCCAGGCCACGGCAGAACCACTGCCCAGACCTGCAGCCTCACGATGGTTGCTAGATTTGGGCCCACTGCTATACAACCTCAAAATCCACTATGGCATGTGAACTCAGAATAAAGTTACTTGTTCTTTATAAAATGACAGGCACACAACACATATTTGTGCTCCTCTTCTATTTAAGCTGAAGATAAAAAGGCAGTATTTAAACCAAGAATAACAACTACAGGAAGTTTGAATGATACATTTTCTACAGTCCCTAAATTCTTCAAAATTACAAGGTCATTAATGCACAGGCCAGAGTTCATAGCTTTCATTCCATTTATCCAGGTTCCTCAGATCCTGACAAGACCTGCACATGGAAACTACTATTCCTCTGGGTCCACAGCTGTCTCTCAGTCTCTCTTTCTAAGCTCATATGGCAGTTTCTAAAAAATTCTCTTTTAAAAGTAACAGAAGTAGGTTACCTTTTTTTCTCTTTTTAAATCATTTTATTGGGGGCTCATACAACTCTTATCACAATCCATCCATCCATTGTGTCAAGCACATTTGTATATTTGTTGCCCCCATCATTCTCAAAACATTTGCTTTCTACTTGAGCACTTGGTATCAGCTCATTTTTTCTCCTCCCTCCCTCCCACCCTCAGGAACCCTTGATAATTTATAAATTATTATTATTGTGTCATGTCTTACACTGTCTGACGTCTCCCTTCACCCACTTTTCTGTTGTCCGTCACCCAGGGAGGGGGTTATATGTAGATCATTGTAACTGGTTCCCCCTTTCTACCCCACCCTCCCTCCACCCTCCCAGTATCGCCACTCTCACTGATCTCACCACTGAGGGGATCATCTGTCCCTGTTTCCAGTTCCCTGTCTGTGCCAGTGTACATCCTCTGGTCCAGCCGGATTTGTAAAGTAGAACTAGGATCATGATAGTGGGGGGGGGAGGGTGAGGAGCATTAAAGACTAGAGGAAAGTTGTATGTTTCATCGTTGCTACACTGCACCCTGACTGGCTCGTCTCCCTCCCGGGAGCCTCCTGTAAGGGAATGTCCAGTTGTCAAGTAAGCTACCTTTTATGTAGGAAAAAAAAGGTGAAACAGATATGCATTTGCTTCTGAAGGTATCCATATTTTCTGGGAGTTACCAAAGAAAGAGGCAAAGGTACTTGTAGGGAGGGACACTGAGTCTTTGGTGATGCACGGCTGTGAGCATTCAACTACTGACTGGGAGATCAGTAGATGAAATCCACCCCTGGCACCTCAGAAAGGCTGTGCTCTCTATCCGAGAGAGCACAGCCTTGTTCTACTCCCACACACCCGGCGTCCTAATGGGTAGGAATCAGTGGAACAGAACTTTTGGGGCAGGGAGAGACAGGGTGAAAAGAACAAGAGAGGAAAAATTCAGAGTTAGATATTTATATCTCAATAGCTTTAAGCCAAATAAATATCTCTCTATGCAAAATAAAACTTCAAAGAGATGTAAGTTAAAGCCCCTAATTCGCCCTTTTTGTCCTACTGTCCTGATAGAATCTTAATTGGCAGTTTTGTTTACCATATTTCTTGGCATGTTTATTTCACTCAAAGCGTGCTTTGAGCAATAACTGTCAAACCCGCTTGAGTTATATGAGATTCTATGATTTGCTTAAGTACAAGAAATGTACTCCTCTTTAAAATGCTACAGAGAATGCATGAAAGATAATTAGATGTAGAAAACCCATTGAGAGAATGTGGACTATAACAGAGAGTCATGAAGTCCACAGTAAGCATCATCACGGGAAATAAGACCCCCTAGGTCACGCAGCTCCCCCTGCGTCTGGATCACACTCCTTGGGGCTCCCCTTTAGTGTGGTACACCTATGTCGGTACCTTGGTGGAACCAGAAAATTCCAAACCATGTTACTTGCTATAGCCTGGACCAAGTCCGAAACCAGCCACAGTGGACTGTCTTCAAAAGTCAAGGGGAAAATAACAACAACAACAACAAAACAGGAGAGGCTTTCAACGACTGTGGAAAAATCATGTTATCTTTTAATTCCATTTTGAAGCCCCATTTACAGGTTAAAATAAGTGCATGGTGTAATTTCTGATTATAATGGTATTTCTCAAAAAACATATAGAAAAGGCTACTTTTATAGAAAATCTAGAAAACCCAATGACACAAGATAAACGCACCCTGAAACAGTGCCGCTGTAGTATTGTTATGTTCCCTCCCAGTTTCTTCTCCTTACTTTTGAAATAATAGTACTGAGAAGTCCTATATGCTCTTAACCGCTATGACACCATTGATGTCATTTTACTGCATCTGCCATTTCTTCTCTATATGTGTATAACAAAACCAAATTCTGATTCATAGCCTATAAAAGGTTTCCAAGTCTATCGATCCAGAAGGGAGCAGGTAGCCTTTGTCTTTCTCAGGGGAGTGGCTGGTGGGTCTGAACTGCAGATTTTGCCGTAAGCAGTATAACACCTAATGCACAGCATCATGAGGTCTCTCTCTCTCTCTCTCTCTCTCTCTCTCTCTCTCTATATATATATATATATATATATATACACACACACACATATATGTAGTATTATTTTTATCTTTACCATTTAAGCTTAAGTTGTAGACATAAACCCTTTAATAAACATTTCCTAAAAACAAGGACAATCTCTTATAAAGTCACAGTGTAACTTTCAAAATCAGGAACTATCATTGTACTATAATCTCCAGATTATTCAAAGCTTTCCAATACTATTCGTTGACTTTTGAAGTCTGGACAGATGTGAAGAGCGGTCAGTATAATTGTTTTATAGACTGTCCCTCTGGACAGTTAGATATTGGATGTTCCCTCATGATCAGGTTCAGGTTATTCATTTCAAACACGAATCCCACAGAAGAGATGTGCCCTTGGCAATACACGACAAGCAAGCACGTGATATTATTCCTGGTGCAGTAAACTCTGATTTACTTAGGATGCTGTTTACCAGACTTTCCCATTGTGATTTTTACGTATTTTGTAGACCGATCCTATGAAACTATAGATATGCTGTTCTTCATAAAGCTCGATCTAGGAGTTTTAACATCCATTGCTGATTCTCGCCTGGATAAATTAGGATGTTAGTCCAAAGGTCATTGTCTACTGTCAATCTTACTACATTAGTTGATAATCAACTTCACAAAGCACTGTTCCTTTTCCGTTCATTTATTTACATCGATATGGATTCATTAATTCCTATTTCACTCAATGGAAGCATTATTTGTTTTGTTCAAAAGTGCTCACAGATTAGGTGAGGAGGGGCCCCTTTAGGCTGCCTCCTGTGTCACTGTGGCATGTGTTCACATCCCCATCACGCTTTTCTAATTCCCCTGCTCTAGCCCTGGATTTGGTTATTTTACCTTTTGATGGAGAATGGGATTTAGAAATCAAGATGGGAGACTCAGTGTGTGTGCTCTTGGCTGCTGGCGCTGCCCACCTTTACCAAAGCACGTTTCATTGTCATAATGCCCATGGCAGATACTTCCCACATGAAGATAAACTTTAAAATATTCTAATGGGTATGCAGCATTTATGTAAATAGAATAAAATGTGCAATTGGTATGCTTCATACTTTTCATAATCGTTTTTAAAACCCTAGGGTAAATCCTTCTATACACTAAACCTAGCTTTCAGGTTTAAAATTAAAATGATGATTTGGTGATAAATGATTAGCAGTTTGGGTCTGGTCCTATCTGTACTATTCATCAGTTGCGTGACCACAAAGAAGTCGCTTGATTTTGCCATCTCCTAATATCACCTGTGAAACAGAGGTGATCATAGTATCAAAACACTATTAGGAGATTAAATAAACCGTAAGATATAAAAGCACTTCGAATAGCATCATCTCACTATTATTGCTTCCATCATCTGTCCATTTGCTGTGCTAGGAAAGAAGGCCCGGCGATCTACTGCCAACATTTAGCCAGTGAAAACCATGGATCACAAGAATCTACTGTCCGGTAACAGGGCTAGAAGACGAGCCCTCTGTGCTGGAAGGCTCTCAAAGTACACCCCACGCCGACCGCCATCATGTTAATTCGGACTCACAGTGATCACACAGAGTAGACTATAAATCTCGATGGGAGCACACAGCCTCCTCTTTCTCTCTGGGAGCAGTTAGCATTTGCTACAAAATCTGGACTTCAACAGACGTACGGATGTTGGTGAAGATGGCCCAGGACAAGGCACCATTCTGTTCCATTGTAAACGGGATCACTCCTGAGTCGGAGCTGACTCCACAGCGTCTAACAGCATTACTTACTAACTACTTCCAGGGAGAGGCGCAAGCTCTGTATTCTTAAAGGACCTGAGTCTTAGTGCCCAAGTGCGTGAAAGATATTTTACCAGGCTCTCTTGTTGATTCTTTCCAAGTCTTTGAGGCAAGTCCTCTTATCTCTAATTTTACAGGGAAAAGAAGAACTTTGTTTACTGTCATTGAGACCGTGGTGGCAGAAATTTAAATTTTATCCTGTGGATAACTATAAAAAACATTTTCTTCTTCACACTTGCTGACTGCACCTCTTCCAGGTACATTCAGTTTGAAAGAAAGATCTGATCCAAATGGGTGAGAGTGCTCTGGAAATATTGGAAAGTAAGATATCTTGAGCCAAGTCTTCAAAATAAAAACTGTAAGCCTCATATTCATGGTGACGACAGATGAGTTGATAAATGGAGGATGCAGTGATGAAAAAGAAAGTGATTAGAAGCAGTAAGGAGAGTCTCTGAAATTTTACTTGCTGTGCTGTGCTGTGCTGTCTGGGTGCAGGAACAAACACCAACCCCACTGCCATTGCATCCATCCTGGCTCCTAGCGACCCTGCAAGGACTGAGTAAACTGTCCCCTAGGGTTGTCAAGGCTCTCAGTCTTTACTGAAACAAGCTGCCACATCGGTCCCCTGCAGAGCACCTGTGGTTGCCAAGGCTCTCAATCTTTACTCACCTTCTCGTTTGCAGGCAAGGACTCAGCCACGACCAGGGTTCCTTGCAGGTGCAGAAAAGATGAAGTTTAAGGCGTCTAAGGGAAGAAATACTCGTAACCTCGACCCTAAAAAGTGGTCGGCTAAAGGATGAGGGAGCCTCCACCAACAGGGCGGTGTGCGTGCTAGGGAAGACAGCTCCAGAGATGCCCTTTAGATGAAGGCCGGAGGATGAACCTCCACTGCAGGTGGGCATGGGGCATTGAAAAAGGTAGGATGTGGAAAGAGGTGAAACCGAAAAAGCCCAGCCCATGCCAGGTACCGCGGGACCAATAGTTGAATACAGAATGCTTCTGGAACAGAGGCTGGAAGGGGAAAGAAAAGCAAGGGCTACAGTAATAGTTGTGCTGAGAGTCCAACGATGGGGCTTAGTCTTGAACAAGAGGCTCTGTGCACCACACCCTCTGCGCCACTCTCTAGCCTTTGAACTTGGTACTGAAGTTGCTCCTGGAGGTCACCGCGATAAAACAACACCCCCCTGATGTGCCCCCTTAAGCCATCAAGTACATTAGACCAAAGTCAACGATGAGAAAGCAAAGGGAGGCGAGATCAACGGAAAGAAAACAAACAGAATGGAAGTAAGAATGCTGACACGCTGCGGAAATTGTAACCAGCGGCGTCAGGCGATTTGAATAAAAATTGTTAAATGGAAAGCTAATTTTCTCCGTAAACTTTCACCTGAAAACTAAACCCACTGCCTTCAAGTTGATTTCGACCCTATGAAACACAATAAAAGATCAGTAACATGACGATGGGTCTCATGCTGGATTTTAAACAAGGGAACCGTTTAGCTACAGCGAGGAGGGTGCTTTTTGAGAGGGTTAAGGTTAAAGGCCGGTACACCAACTGGGATCAACATTTTCTTCGTTTCTAGTCAAATCCCAGCAGGAGTGACAGGTGCTACCAGCACGAAGTGCAGCCAAGAACCTGGACTGGATGCAACAGTGTGCTGCGGATCCAAGAGACAAAGTCACCTGACCAGTGGCAGGGACTCGAACCCAGATCTAAGGCCAAAACTCACACTCTGGAGGTCCACACCGTGTACAGGAGGAAACACTGGACATCTCTGGACAGCGCGGCTGTGTTCGGAAGGTAGATGTGTGTCCCCGCTCCCTCCCTTTCCCAAGCAGTTTTAATTCCGCGTCTTTGCCTGCTGCTGCATTTTTCCAGCGGACTTTTACTCTTCTCCCGGTCCGAGAACCACCTCTGTCCCTCTCCACCCCCACGGGGCCTCCTCAGGTCCACAGCCCTCACCTGGCGCGGCCGGGCTCCGGACCTGACCATCGCTCGCAGCCGCAAAGAAGCCCACACCGAAGGGACCGAAGCCGCACGGTAAAAGGAATTAACCGCCTCGGGCTCTGGGTCCCCTTTGGCCCGCCCCCCGAACTTCCGTTTCCGGGAAGAAGCCCGCCGCACGCCGCGCCTCATCGTCGCGGGCCTTTCTCGGCTTAGTCTGGCCGCGCTGGGCGTGCGCACTAGAATCCTCTCGGCACCTGAGCAAGTTACCTACGCGCTGGCCGCAGGCGCCCGGAGAAACTGGGAGGAGGGGGGAAGAGCGATTGGACGAGGGGGCGGGGCGTTTGGAACGGGGAGGGGCGGGGCGTAAGGACGAGGGGGCGGGGCGAGTGGAACGGGGAGGGCGGGACGAAAGGATGAGGGGCGGGGCCAGAAGCCGGCGTCGGCCAGCCCCAGCGCCCAGGCTAACCGCTGGACGGCGGGCGTTCGGAGCGCTGCTGCGGGCGGACTGCTGCCCTCCATCGGCTCGTGGAAGCGGGGCTAGAGGACACGCCACCGCGGTGCGAACGAAGCGGATAGGTTTTAGAAAGAATTGGCGCTGGCGCTCACCTCTTGGGTTTTGGCTCTTTGGTTTATTGTTCTGAGTTTTGTGTGCCTGTTTGAATGATTTTGTTAGTAATAGTCAAATCACACTTCCAGGATCAGATCGTTGTCTTTGGCTAAATCTCGGGTCAATTTCAAATTTATTCACCGGGGCATTGATCTCAGTGCTCGTGAGTTGAGATTTCGGTTTTTACTTCCAGGCATAGCTGTCAGCTCTTTCATTAGAGGTAATTACTGCTAATAAAGAATGACGCATCGTTCTTATCGTTGACTTGCTCCGCGACTTTTAATGGAGATTAGTCTTTAGGTTTCAAGGCATTGAATTTTTGGCTTAATCTTTTAAATCATGTTGAAGAAGAAATGTAACGTAAGCCCAATTGATTCACTTTATCCTTTTAAATGGGAAAATGACCTACCTTTCAAAAGTCTCCCTTGCAACAAAATCGGGAATTAAGATCTTGCTAGCAACATATTACACATCCATAATGAGCAATTTGGGGAAACTAGGTAATTGGTCACCTAGTTGGTAGTTTTGGATTGAATATTTTTAGTCCTTGGCTTTCCCTGTTCCTCTTCTATTACAGTTTTTAACTTCTCCTGGGATTCGATGCTTGTCTTTTTTTCCCTGCTTTTTTTTTTTAATTTACATCATTTTATTGGGGGCTCTTACAACTCTTATCATAATCCATGCATACATCCCTTGTGTCAAGCACATTTGTACATTCGTTGCCCTCGTCATTCTCAAAATATTTGCTTTCCACTTGAGCACTTGGAATCAGCTCATTTTCCCCTCCCTCCCCATTTCCTCTTCCCTCACGAACCCTTGATAATTTATAAATTATTATTATTGTGTCATGTCTTACACTGCCCGACGTCGCCCTTCGCCCACTTTTCTATTGTCCATCCTCCAGGGGGGAGGTTATATGTAGATCCTTATAATTGGTTCCATGCTTGTCTTTCTTAAACTGATTTCAAGACATGTTGATTTTAATATATGCTTATTTTAGAAAAATATAGATGACCCAGTGCCATCCATTCTGGCTCATAGCCACCCTATAGGTCAGGGTACAACTGTCCCTGTTCAGAGTTTCAGAGACTGCGACTCTGACAGGATTAGAAAGTATACCGTACTCGAAACTATAGACAAGCTGAAAGGAACAAAGCACCCATAATCCTGCCACCAATAGATTGCCATTTGTTATGGATTAGATTGTGTCTCCCCAAAATAGGTATTGAGACCCCTAACTCATATGGCTGAATAAGAAACCCTGGTGGTGCAGTGGTTAAGCGCTCAACGGCCAACTGAACTGTGTTCTGAACTCACCAAGGGAGAAAGATGTGGAAGTCCACTTCCGTGAAGATTTACAGCCTTGGAAACCTGTGGGATTTGACTCCATAGGTTTTACGACTGTGAGTATAATCTCATTTGGGAATAGACTTTTATTTGTTGTGTTACTGTTAAACCAATCACTTCCCAGAAACAGAAAGTCCAGGTTAGGCATGGAAGGAACCCAGCACAGTTGGAGGGGGCTAGATGCCACCTCCCATAAAGATGACCACTGAACAGAAGTTGGACCTTCAGCCTGAACAGAGAGCAAAAGCCTTCCCCTAGAGCAGTGGTTCTCCGCCTTCCTCATGCCACGACCCTTTCATACAGTTCCTCACGTGGTGGTGACCCCCAACCATAACATTATGTTCGTTGCTATTTCATAACTGTCATTTTGCTACTATTATGAATCCTGCGACCCTTGGGAAAGGGTCATTCGACCCCCAAAGGGGTCTCAACCCACAGGTTGAGAACTGCTGCCCTAGAGCTAGTGCTAGTTGACGCTTCCAGCCTCCTGAAGAGAAATGGTGTTTTTGTTCCTTAAAGCCATGTACTTGTGTTATTTCTGTTCTAGCAGCACTAGATAGCGAAGACACCATTCTCATGCACATTAAACTCAAAAAGTCAGTTACCCAGTCCCTGTCCACTCACAGTGACCTGGTAAGGACAGGGTAGAACTGCCCCTGTGGGTTTCTGAGACTGTAACTATTTTGGGAGCAGATAACCCTGTCTTTCTACCACTCATAGATACATATGCAATAAAAAGCTAGATAGAGATAGATAAACCTTTTTTGTTGTGAATTGCCTAAGGTTTACAGAGCAGTTCATCAATTTTACATTCAACAGTTCATACACATTTTCTTTCCTCTCCATTGATTGCAGTTCCCCACAACGTAACATCACTTATCCCACTTGCCCCCTGGAATTCTAGTTGTTGTTGCATGGTTATTTCTTTAAAAAACAAAGCAAAAACATTTATTGTGAATTGGGTGAAGGTTTACAGAGCAAATCAGTTTTCCAATAAATACGCGTTAAACATCATGTTCCTGTTAGTTCTCATAACATGGCCCTGCTCGACACTCACCTTCACAAAGAGGTCACTGAAGTGCTGCAGCAAGTGTGGTGAAGGAAGCAGACGGTTGCCTGGCTCTCATTTGGAATCGTGTCTGGGATCTTAAAGGTTTGTCTTCAAACAAGCAGCCATCTAAGTGAGACGTCAACTAAGTCCACATGGAAGAAGTCGGTGTGATCTAAAGATGACAATAACAAAATCCAAATAGGATGAAGGGAAAAATGTCAGAGTTTAAATTGCGAACATCCCATTTGTAAAAGGCCACGGAGGATGGTGGTTCAGACCCCAAATCCATCTGCAGAGTGTCTGGTCCGATTGGGCCTCTGGCAGATCCCCGCCTGCCACAGAGGAGGGCCTTGAACAGCTTTACTGCCAGACAGAGGATCGCCAACTTGAGGATGGTGGGTCGAACCATGGTGTAATAGGGTACTTGGTCAGTTGATCTCTCTCTTGACCCAACCTGAATTTGCTCTGTGCTCAAATATTTCTTGGTTTGTTCCAAGAAAGAAATTTCTTCTCAGTCTTTTTAAATATTGGTGTTATTTTTCTTTCTTACTCTTTATTTTTATCTTTATATATTGCTTTCTATTTCATTTTGGTTTTGCTTTTTAGTGTTTCTGTTAGGTCTCCCAGTTTGTGAAACACAGAAGGCGTGGATGCATAGAGACAGTAACTGATTCTATGGTTTATTAGGAAGGTGGGGGAGGGAAGTTGGGGCGCATTCTGTGAATGCAGCAGGTGGGAGGGAGCATTAGTGCTGACTGTGATGATGTATTTACAACTCTTTTTAGAAGTGGTTCACTGGGGAAGTGTATGATATGTGACAATTATATCAAGAAAACTACTTAAAAAAGAAGAAGAAACCGAACTTGACCTATGGTTACCATGGGTGAAGGAGGAAGAGTTTTTGCTTGCGCATTGAGTTCATTTTAATGGTGGTGGAATAATTTGGAAAGGGATATCAATACGGGTTGTACAACACGAGGAGTATAATCAATGGCAGTGAATTGTACATATAGAAGTTGTTGAATTGGTGAATGTTTTGTATGTATTTCAGTCAAAATGTAGAAAACGTTATATGAATAACAATGGGGGGGGGAGAAAATGTTCTAAAATTGATTGTGGTCAGGACTGTACAACTCCTCCTGAGATGGTTGAACTATTGAATTAGATGATATGTGGACAAAGTGCCAATAAAACTGTTTTAAATTAAATTTTTAAAAAACATCATGTTGCATGTCACTGATTGCAATCTTCATTATATATTACTTAACCTGCTTCCTCCCTGTGTTTACTGTTTACATTCCTACTTTTTCTTTTAGCCTTTCTGAACTTTGTAGTTGCTTAAATACGCCCTTTCTGGCTCAATTGGAGGGTGCACCTCTCGGGGGTGGTGTTCCCCTCAGGACCTGGCTTGTTTGGCAGAAATTGAGTCACAGAGGTGAGTCCAGTCCCAGACCTGAAGGGTAACAGGGCCTGTAGATTCTGTGTGACCAGTCAGCTAGTCTTTCTGGTGGTTTTCAGTTTTGGTATTTCTTTCATGTCTCCAGGTCATTCTAATAGGATCCTTTTCAGAAGAGCCGGTGGTGGTAGCTGGTTACCATCCAGTTCTTTTGATGACATGGTTATGGAAGTTTATGCTCATATGGTCCATTAGTTCATTGGAATCATTGCTTCCGTGTGTCTTCATTCTTCCTTCCTTGCGATCGGGAGAGAGAAATAGATGCACCTTAGATGACTGCAAAGGAGCTTTGAAGACCGTCTCACTGTGCAACAAAAGATTGAGAAGATTGTCTTTGTGGCCAAGGGCATAACATTGGTGCCCCTGAGACTTTGATCCTGAGCCCCCAGGCCCTATGGCTTATTTCCTCCAGGTCCTGTATAGGAAATGTCCATAACTCCCCCCTGTATGCTCTACAGTTGCTGTTGGTAGGTGCCGTGGAGTCGCCTCCGACCCTTAGCGACCTCATGCACAGCAGAAAGAAACAGAGCATGGTCCTGCGTCATCCCCACCCTTGTTCCTCTGCCTGAGCCTTTGATGCAGCCACTGTGCCAATCCATCTTGTTGACTTTACCAAACA